GTGCTGCTACCTAGTGCTGCGCGCTGTCGGGCGGTGCGTGCTGCGCGCTGCCAGGCTACTGTGTGGCCACTGTGCGTGCTGCTGCCTATGATTGCGCCGCAGTGCGCTGTCAAGCAGTGTGTCCATAACATGGAAAGGAACAGGTGGGAGAACGAATCAACATTTAAGGGAATAATGAATCATAGGTGGAGGTGTTGGCAAATAAAACTCAAAAAACTAATAAAAACCCTTGAGGTGAACTTAACTCTAAATTTCCCTATAAAAAATGGGTGTGCCCCAACCACTCTTTTTTTTTTTTTTGCCTTTTTTTTCTCTTTGAAGTAAACATCCAAACAACAAGGGACTTACATTTAGGTTAAATTTAGTTAAGATTTAAGAATATAAAACCATGGCTTTAATCTTTAATCTGATTAAAAGGCGGAACAAACCCTTTTTTTCAGGTTAGTCAGTCAGCAGAGGCTGATAGGAAATAGGACAAAATGCATGTGAGACAACCTATTGGCCAGACCACAGAGGGTCTGCAGTTCTAAAAGGTGGCCAATGTTAAACCACTATTCCTATATTATTCCTTCTCATGTGAATGTACCTTAATTTCCATGCTAGTCTTCACGGTTTTCATTTGTGGAAGGACCCGTTTCATTGGTGGTAGGCTTTTATGGTTTACATTTCAGATCTTTGATGTCCTTCCAAGTCTACATTTTATATTTTTATTGTCTTGTTTTCTTTTTTTTTATTTTATTTTTTCATTTTAAACAGGGATTTACATGTTAGGTAAGAAGTCTTTTCCATTGCTAAAAAAAAAGCAACTCCTCATATATACATGAAAATTTTCTCATTTTACAAATTATAATCGGGATAGAGAAGAAAAAGTTGGTTAAAACTTAAAACAATTTAGGTAGCAAATAGTAATGCTTTGGATAAATATACAGCCCTAATTTTTACAAGGGAAAATTTCAGATTAATACTTTGTAATTTGGAGTTAGCCTCAATTTAGTACCCGAACATCAAAATACTTGAATTTCTAAAAACTGCCAATTTAGTATCCGATGTTAGTAATTCATCAGTTATCTGTATCACGTGACGACATGTGCAGCTTATACCAAAATTGCCCTTTTTAATATTTCTAAGACTATTTACTTTGATTGTAATCCCCGTCAACGACGAGAATTACTCATCTTTTCCAGCAACAATGGTGGTCTAAATCCCTTTTTATTATGGATTATTGAATAACTGGAAAAAAGGATTACAACAACGGGGGTATAAATCCCTCTTCTCTGGCAAAGGTGTTGTTTCTTTTGCGATGTTTTCACATGTAACTTCTCCAACAGAAAACACTAGTCCTTCTGTAGAAAGGTTATGGCATAAAGTGAACAGTAATGCTGAATCACAGTGAAAAATGGATTTAAGCATGACTACTTTGGTGATTTCAAAATTATGTTTATCTCACCTATTCAAAAGATAAAGGGTATTTATGTCTTTTTGCATGTCATTTAACACCAATTAAGAATTTTTGAACTAAATTAGCAACTTTCGAGAACTTAATTACTACAGTGACACGTTTTGAAGTTTGAGTACTATAGTGTGATAACTCCAAAGTAAAGAGTGAGTATAATCTCCTAATCTACCCTTTTTTATGACTTGCCAATACTCCTCTTTTGACCATTTTATCCCATATGTGAAGTTGTCCACTAAATTAAATTTAACATAATACTAATATTAATATAAAAAAGACTGGCATGAAGTAGCCATAAGCAAACCATATTTCTAAATTCTTGTAGAATAGTTTAATGGTCATTGTTGCACCAAGATCTTATATTTTCTCCTTAATGAGAAGGTGGCAGGTGGGTGGGTATGGGACTATGGGTTGAGCTACAACCCACCCATTTAACAAATGAACCTATTTACCACCAATGTGAAGCCTAGCTAGCTAAATGGCCGGGCAAGCCCATTTTTTCCTTACTGAAAAAATGAACCTATTTTCTCCTTACATGTATTTTTCCACAGTTGGCGACTCTCTCTGCTCGGGCATTTGATGCTGGGCCAGTAGCTATACAAGTCCTCCTTCAAGTCCGAGAGCTGCATGGGATGAATAAGAGAATGTAATCATGGTGAGAACTTAAACTGTGCACAATCTAGTTAGAAATTCCTTGAAGATAATGCTAATAATGGATACAACGATCAGCTCTGCTAATTAGTTCCATTGATGATCCAGTCATGAGATCATATATATATAAACTTAGTTTGAACTCGAAAAGCATTAATTTGATGTGTAAAGTGTAAATCAACGAACCTCATCAAGATAGAAGGGGCTCATATTGCACTGTGTAAAAGCCTTGCCGTCATTAGAGTAAGGCTGGAGGCCTTTGACAAAGAAGTCGAGTTCAGATTGGCCATTCTTGGGAAGGCAACACCCTGAACTGGTTTGCTTGCAGTAAGAACCGGGTCACTGCAAATAATTACCATGCTACACTCATGTTAGATATCAAGCCAAGGATAAAACCAGTCACAATACCATATGAAAGAAGAAATAAACTCGTAAACAATGCCCACAGATACTACTAATTTTATCATCTGTAGATGTAATGACAGAGTGAGTGAGAGAGAGAGAGAGCAGAGCATCATGAGCACAAGATAGTAGAAATCAAAATCATTAGCGGCAATCGCCTCCACGGGAGATGCGAACATGAACAACAGTGCCAGAAAAGTTATAGGGACGTAGGAAGCCATGCTGTGTGTCTATGAGAGAGGAGTGGTTGAGAGCCCAAATCCCAGAGGCCAAAGATTAACTAGAACCTGAAGAGAGGATGGTTGGTTGGTGAGAAGACTCGTGATCCCATATAGAGGTGTAAATCGGGTCATGCCACCCAGCCCGGCACTAACTTGGACTGGCCCAACATGACTGTCCACGGGCTGTGCTGGGCCTGGGGTCTTAGGTCCATGGGCCGGCACAACCGAGTGGCCCATATATATTATTTATATATATTTATATAATACTATATAAATTATAATTATATATAGTATATAATATATTAATAAAATAAATAATTTTTTTAATTTTATTGTACTAATTTATTTAATTATTGTATATATAAGCAATTATATATACAAAATTCATATAAAATTAAAATTTTAAATTTTTTGTCATTTTTTTTAAATAAACAGCTTTGGCCCGGTGCACAGCCCGACCTGACTCAAGGCACGGTTCCGCACGGGCCTGGTCCATGGGCCGTGCTAGGCCGACCCCTAAATTTTTCACCGAAGAGGATGGCATGGCCCGTAACAACTGCAGGCCGTGCTATGCCGGCCCAACATGGCCACTTTACACCTCTAACCATCAATACCTTTTTATAGGGACGCAGCTGCAGCTGATGTAGATAAAGAGAAAAACGATTGATTGTGGATGAATTAGATAATATGGATGGAAAACGAGATAGATAACGATATGTCATTCATCTTCTTGCTACGCCTTGACCCTTGAATATTGAATTGAAAGTTGAGAGACCATAAAACACGTGAGGATGGAATTCCAAACTCGCGTGGGATGATTAGTAATCAAGTAATAAAGTAATGAAGTAAAGCATAGCCACACGTTATTTGTTTTTCGTCTTATTCTTTTCCTTTTTTGTCTTTGTTGGGCCAATGGACTTCGTGCGCATCAGGTCTATTGATTTTTTTTAACCTTGACAATAATGGCTCCTACCTGCACCATTCACCGTTTCATTCCTGCAATTCTTTTGATTTGGCAAGCGGTAACAGTGCTTAAAAACCAGGAAACCAGGATCAGTGGGGCTTTTAGAGTAGATCAAGATCGAACCAGTCTGACCAAGTTATTATCTTCAAGTTAATAGGAAAAATCTCACTGAAACTCACTTCAGAAATTTTAATTCCACCATACACCTACAACAATTCAAAACTTCCAACACCGCGCATTGTATCACTGCTCCAGCCAAAAAATCTTTCAAAAAAATTATAACTCTCTCTCTCTCTCTGTAATCCAGTGACAGTGAGGTCCATCTGGGCTCAATCTTTTTTGTATTATCAGATGGCAAGAACAAAACTTGGAAAGACCTAACAACCACCACTTGGGAAGGGGCTCCCTTCGAGATTATTACTTTAGGTCTGAGTTTATATAGTTCTATTTATTTAGTTAATAAAGTGAAATAATCTAACTAGTAACTACCATATTTTTTAGATTCTAACAACCGCATTTAACTCCTATTATATCACTTAAACTCCTTCATTAACTCTTGTTTACCATAATTTTGTTTCACCATATTAATTTCCTATTAAATTGCCTAAAACCATCCATTAACTCATGCTTATTGTTGCATTTAAGTCCTAAAAAATGGGAGCCCAAACCCCTGTCAACTTCCCTTTTTTAAATGCTACAAATCTCTGTCATCTTCCATTTACTCAAGCATTTAACTCCTATTAAATTGCATTCTTATTGGCTCATTCTTTGAACATGGGTTGCTCACATGATAGGCAACAGTTTTCACCATTACACTGTACTCTTAACATATTAAAATAACATGTTTCAAGGTTTTTAAAACCAACCCAGAGAATAAACCGGTCAGGGGTCCGGTTCCCGGGTCAAACGGTCCAACCGTTCAAACCAAATGGTCAGCCCATTCTAACAAAAAAATAAAAAACAGTCAAAAACAGTTAACTGCCTGGGTCAGCGGTTTGCTGACCAAAATCAACAGTTTTTGAGAAAATCCAGTTTTGGGGAAAAACGGAACCGGTCACCTGAACGATTCCCGGTTTTTCTGGTCCAACCGTCCGGTCCGGTCCGTTTTTGAAAACCATAATATGTTTTAACTTTTATACAAGATTCCTCTACCATTTACCATCATTTCACAATTTTCCTGTTAGCTTGAACTTGACATAAATTATTAAATTACATATGATGTGCTATCTATACCTTATTCATGGTAATTTGAGTTCTAGATCCAGTGTTATTGATACATTCTGTGGGATTTATGAGTTTCCTTGGCATATCCACACATCCAAATTTCCAACTATATTCATGCATTTGGTAAGCATATTGCAATACATATCTTAAAATTGACTTTATAATGCTCTTTACAATACCTATCCAGATAGATTGCTGAGTCCTTCCAAACCCAAATTGGCCCAATCCTCGATTGGTTGTTAAGCTATACAACTATGTCACTTGCTACCAGTAACAGAAATCATTAATGACATGATTACAGATGATACCAGTGTCTGTTGCAGTTTCCAAAAGGCAGAGATGATGTCAAGTCCCAATAAGCAGGCTTACAGTACTAATGACCAACTCAATGGTTCAGAAAGAAGAACCTCAAGACTGCAGAATCAGGGGCCAATGCTATAATATACTTTTGTCATCCCCTTCTTTATCCGAATTTGAGTAACCTGCCAGGAGTCATGAAAAGACAGCATGATATGAGACTAAATATTATCACCTAATAGCGAGAAGAATATCCAACCACCTTGGAACTAAGAGTAAGAGAGTTACTTGTCACAATTAGATAATAATGTATACATAAATCTTGCTCTCAAGGCATTGGAGTTTTGTCCTCTCTATTTGATCTGTCAGACTTCGTAAAAAAACACCAAACAAATTTCATCCTCCATACCAGTTCACTTGCCACTAGCAGTTTCAGTTTACCGCATGAGTAGCATTTTTACAATATCTTTAAGAACTACTGGAGAAATAACCCACTTCAGTTAGGGGATCAAGTAAATTGGTCATTGTATAGCCTGGCATGCCAAAACATACCAATTAGATGAATGCTTCTGGAAACTTATTCCATGAACTACTTATGCTAGTTCTTTCCCGGTGCCCAAACATTTGCAGGTAGTGTTCACATGATGAGATGACAGACCAAAATTCTTTAATGGAGTTGTTCATAATTTAGCTTGAAATAACAGATAAGAGTGACTCAACAAGGCTTATATGGATTTCAAAAAATTAATAATACTCAGGAGGCAGGTGATGGAATGATGGTGCAGGGTGCCAACTGGCTAGTTGGTAAGGTCTCTGGCTGGTTGTAGCAGACACTTGGGATCAAATCCCACCTGCATCAGGGTTAGAGGATTATGGATTTGGAGGATGGGCTACCCCCCATTGTGGGGGACCATATAAAATAAAAATAAAATAAAATGATGGAATGATGGTTATGATTTTGTATGCGGATTCCAGGCAGGAAATGAGTTCCTAAAAGCTGTTCTAAAGCTATGAGACTTAAGGATCTGAAACAAATCATTCAAGTTATCTTAAATCAGTAACATGACAATGGCATGAAATGGCTTTAAAAGGACTGCTACCATGTTAAAAGTGAAGATTACAAGCACAAGGATCAAGGGAACAATACAAGAGAAAAAGTGAATAGGTAGCTTAATAGTTTGATATAGAACTACAGGACAAGGGGTCTTTCATACTGTTACTTATCCAAAAAAGCCACCAAATGACACAAAAACAATAACAAAGATAGAATAGAAGGAAAATAAGTCCACTAGAATCAGTTCAGTAGCTCCAACAGGAGCCAAACACCTAAAAGCAGAAAGCATCAATACCTTATGAACATAGAGTCAATGCCAAACATAATACACTAAAATTTATTTGTTTAACAACCTCAAAGAAGTCCATATGAGTGCAAAGGGAGGATGCATGTAATGATGTCCTGACCCTACTTGTGTTAGGGTCAGACTTAATTGGGTTTCAGGTTGAGGCTGATTTGCACCAAACTTGACACATTGACATAGTGGCATAGTGGCATAGAAAAACTGCAAGATATAGCTATTGCTAATGATAGTTGTACTGTTCATGGGATGAGTTGGGTCAGGTTAGGTGATCATATTCCACTTGGTCAAGTCAGGTTCAGGTTGAGCCAAACCCATACCAAACCCAACCCATAGACGTTCTTAGGTGCATGACACTTGCTGAAATCTATACCACATTAATTGCCATAACATAGAAAATACTTGCAGTTAAGCAAACTAGCATCTTGATGATCCCAAGTCCCAACTATGCCATCTGGCTCAGTTGGTAAGGTCTCTGGCTGGTTGTAGTAGAGACTTGGGATCAAATCCCGTCATCACCAGGGATGGGGGGTTATGGGTAGAGGGGACAGGCCAGCAAATCTTGAGGATCCCACAAAATAATTGAAGCACTGTGGTGGGTGTAAGAACGTGTCCAGGGAGGAAGGCAGTGGAGAGATCAAGTTGGAAGAAGAAGAAGAAGAAGAATTGGCTGTGGATCAGTTAGGGGTGTTCATTTGATCAGTTCGGTTCGGAAATGGAACCTAACCGACATTTTGTTTAGGCCATTTTCAAAAACCAAACCAAACTGAATTCAATTCGGTTCGGTTCGGTTCGGTTTTAAATCAGTTAATTTGGTTAATTAAAATATTACATATATGTTATATTTGTACTAATATTTATTATTAAAAGATATCAACATTTATAATTAAAATATAAATATATGTATTTATTTCATTAATTCAGTTTTCAGTTCGGTTGAAAAACTTTCCCAAACCAAACCAAAAACCAATATTTTTTAAAATTATCAAACCAAACCAAACCAAAAATCGAATAAACCGAGCCAAATCGCCTTATTTGGTTTGATTTTTGGTTTGGTAACCAAATTTGAACACCCCTAGGATCTCTTAAGTGTATTTTTTTGATAAGCTATCTGTTAAGTGTATTGAGGTCCCCATGTGGGTAGGGGCCCTTTTTTTTATTTGATCAGCAAGAAAATTGGATTATATTAAAATGATAATCTACGTATAATATTTATAATATTTTACTTCTTTAAATTCAAGAACATTCTTTAGACATTGTTAGGAACCTGCCTAACTCAGGGCTCTTCGAGGGGCCAACCTCCTGAATTCTTGGAAGGAGAGAGAGAGAGTTTAATGCTGAAAGAGTCCTCTCTTCCTTTTCTGCTCTACTACTTATAGTTACAATCTTGACTGTTACAGCTGTTACAAGTGGCTGGTTAGTTGAGCTGATGTGGCCTCCTCTTGTAAAACTAACTAACTGCCTTCTGTTGGTCTGTTCCAACAGTCTTGACAATCCAATTGGATGTCAGTTGTTACAAGTGGATGGCAGTTATTACAAGTGGCTGGTTAGTTGAGCTGATGTGGCCTCCTCTTGTAAAACTGACTAACTGCCTTCTGTTGGTCTGTTCCAACAGCCTTGACAATCCCCCCTTCCTTTAGAGCGACCTTGCCCTCAAGGTCTAATGTAGGAAAATTTGATTGCAAATCTAAGTAGGAAAATTTGAGTCCATGTGCATGAACCATTGAATGCCTAGCACCACGTCTGCTCCACTGAGATGGAGAGGATATAGGTCCACCACAAACTGATGACCCTGAATCTTTAGTGGTAGGCCCCTGCAAATGCTATTGCAAGAGAGGCTGTTACCATTGGCCACATGAACCGTAAAGGTCGTTGTTGGTTCCACCGAAAGTCCCATTTTATTCACCAAGACTTGAGTTATGAAGTTAAGGGAGTTGCCACTGTCTATGAGGATTGACACTTGGCGTCCTAGAATCAGCCCTGCAACTCTCATTGTTTGAGGGGATGCAAGTCACGTAAGGGCTTGTAAGGATATTTCAGGCGTGCCATTGGACTATATTTCCCATCCTGGGTTAGATTCTCCGCACCCGGGGATGTCGTCTTCCTCTTCGGCATCTGTTTGGAGGAGAAACGCTTGTTGTTTCTTGCAGCGATGGCCCGGCCCAAATTTCTCTTCGTAGTTGTAACAGAGACCTTTGTCTCTGCGGGCTTGCATCTCTGCCCAAGTCAGCCGTTTGAAAGAAACCAGTGGGCCTGGGCCCAATACTCCTTCCTCCTTGTCTGGTGCTGTTGTCTTTTCTTGCTCCCTTCTTGCTTCTGGACCCCATGGTCGCTGCACCTTTCTTGCTTGGCTGAACTTGTCCTCATACAATCTTGCTAGTGTTGCCGCATTGATGGCCGAAGTGGGCTGCATCGCTTTCACTTCCAGTCACAGTTCTTCTTTTAGGCCGCCGACGAAGCTTCCCACCAATGCCTTCTCCGTCCACCCTTGGACTCTCACGACTAGCCTTTCGAACTCCACCTGGTATTCTTTTACTGATCCCACCTGCCACAGCTTTGCCAAATTTTCATCAAGATCTTCAAACCCAGATGATCCAAAACGGACAGTCATGGCGTCTGTGAAGTCTGCCCAGGTTTGACGAGGGTGCCCCCTTCGGTACCATTGAAACCAGAGGATGGCTTCCCCTTCGAGATGCGCAGAAACCAGAGCTACCCTATCTTGCCCTGATGTTTCATGGTAATCGAAATACCTTTCTGCTCTGAGAATCCAGGGAGTTGGGTCACCGCCTGAGAAGATGGAAAAGTCGATTTTGGCTATTCTTGTTGTCGCCCCTGTTCTGCGGCTGTTTTCATTGTTGCGCTCTTCTTGGCTTCCTCTGTCAATGTTCGTTGCCCCCTGCTCTAGTCGAAGGAGGAGAGCAATGAAACTTTCCTTC